AGCAAGTATTCTTTTACCTTGCTTTCTTGCTATATGGAAACTACAGTTCTGGTTTGTTGACCTTGCATTTGGCCATGTTGGTAGACGTGATGAAACCTTAGCTGTAAAAATTTAAATGCTTTGTCTTAACTCTTTACCACTGTGATTTTTTTTTTTTTTTTTTTTTTTTGATGGGGGAGACATGACCTGCTAAACCTCAGCTCCATACCTCAGAAGCTGAGCCCAGAAAAGCACATGTGAGACAAGCCTGCATGAGCTGCTGGCCTGGATTTAAACCCCTTAGAATAAAGCCGGCAGCACAGACCACAGCAGAGCTCAGAAAAGCATGAGTTTACACGCAGAGCTCTGAACATGTGAATGAATGCTCGTTTTGTACCATAAAGCATTGCAATCATGGTCAGTGTTGACTAAGATGGTGGTCTTAGAAAACTCTTATGCAAACTCTTGTTGAGGAGTTATATGTTGAATTGACAAAAGTTATTAGAATTTCCTACTTCCAAAGTACTGTCTTAGCTATTGAATTAAAAAAAAGATTGGTGATATGAATGAAGAAATAATAAAATAGGAAAGAGATCTTCCTTCTGAGATGTGTCTGTACATATTTTATATTTTCAACTTTTGAAAATTTAATGTTTTCCCATACCAAAAAACAAACTCTCATTTTCTCTCTCTCTCTCTCTCTATATATATATATATGTACATATATATACTTATACACATATATATTGACATATGTGTGTGTGTGTGTGTGTGTGTGTGAGGTGACGGCAGAGACTCACTAGATGAGGCTGGCCTTGAACTCATAATTTTCCTGTCTTCAGTACCTAAGTACTGGGATTAGAGGGACACATGTGTGATCAAATATGGCTTATTATATTCTAAATATACTTACTCATTTAATTGAAATGGGTGCTTAAATGTAATATTGCTCTAATAATGTATTTATCAAAGAATATGAACATGAAATTAAAATATTTTAAAAGTCTATCTATTTACCAGCTAAGCGATTTCACAAGACACTTTTCGCCAGCTGTGAGTGACAGTCATAGCTACATAAGTGTGTACTGTCTTGAAGCAAGTACACACACACACACACACACACACACACACACACACACATGCAAGAGGGAAAGACACGTGATATGGTCTCAGTATATGGTCTCAGTATATGGTCTCAGTATATGGTCTCAGTATATGGTCTCAGTATATATTTGCACATGAACATGCACATATGCTACACACACAGGAAAAAAATTTAAAAACTGAAGAATATGGCCGAGATGTAGATTAGCATTGGAGAGCTTGCTCAGGTCACCCTATGCCCTGGGCTAGAGCATGAGCATGGAAAACAAAACGTTTTGGAGAATGCAGATCACCACCTCCATCTCAGATCAAAATATAATAGCACAAGGCACTGACAGCCAGTTCCAAAATGAAGACCAAAACAAGAATTTGACTAAACTGCTCACAAAACCAAGTTTACTGCAGAGAGGCTCAATTGTTAAGGCTTTTGCTCAGTTCCTCATCCTGGTTAATTGTTGATTTTATAGCTATGGACAAGTGGAGGCATATATGCTTCTATATGCCTCCGCTCTCATCGGAAAAAAAAAAAAGTTATCAATAGCCGATAGCTCTTATCTTTTCCCATAGAATTGCTGTGAAGACATAGAAAAATATGTATGGCTGAACTGTTCTACTCACTCCACCCACAAGGTGTGCCCTGTAGACGGCAGGTACTATCTTCATCATAATTGCTACTTTCTGCTAATGGGAAAAGACCTTGGAATTAGCATCAGTGGTAGAAAGGAATTAAAGCGTTGGGCAGCACTGTCCGCAGAGAGAAACACGAGTGCTTCATGAGGTGTGTGCTCAGCTCTCTCTTCTCATTGCCCAGCTCCAGGAGTGCGTTGGGCACAGCTGTGCTGGTGATGAGTCACCCAGAGCAGGACAGGGCAGATAAGGAGGCCTCACTCCTGAGGCAGCTCCAGGAACAGTGGCTGCTCTACCATCAATAGCATCTTGATAGGGAGGGGTGAACCCAGTTTCCATTGTGGTAGTTACCGTGCCATCATGATTACCGGCTCAATTTCACCAACAAGGACAGAACCTAAGTTCAGGCTATGGAGGCTGTCCACAGGGCTAATGTCACACAGCACATGGCTTCTTCAATTTACTCTCACATATCAGCACCATGATGCTGCTGAAGGCACCAGACACTAACTTACACTCTCCTAATCTAAACTGTCCCTGTAATAATTTTTTCTAGAGAATCACCAACTAAAAGGATTGGCTTTAGCAAATAGGGAGAATGTGAGTACAGGGAAAGTATGAGTGTTCAGGGATACAGAGCTTCAGACATCCCGAGAAAGGACTGCACCGTTGCTGTATACTAGAGCAGAACAGACCCTTTAACATGTGTATATGTGTGCGTGCACATATGCGTGTGTGTCTGTGTGTACCCATGTGTCATATGGTATTGTGGAAGTCAGAGGACATTATTTTTCATATTTTTCAATTGTGTGTGAGTGTGCATGTATATGCATGAACGTGTATGAGCGCATGAATACATACATGTGCTCCCGCATGTGAGTTCAGGTGCTCATGGAGGCTACAAGGGAATCCTAGATTTTCTGGTGAAGAAGTTATAGGGAGTTGTGAGCCAGCCAATATGGGTGCTGAGAACAGAAGTCAGGCCCTCTTAACCACTCTTAAGTATGTTCTCTTAACCATTGAGCTAATTCTCCAGCTCCCAAAGGCAGCCTATGGGAGTCAATTGTGTCCTCCCAGGGGTTCTGGGGATTGAATTCAGGTTATCAGGCTTGCATAAAAGATGGCACCTACTAGCTATCTTGCTGGGCTCTGGACTCTGGACTTCGATATCCTGAAGTATCAATTTTCCTTTATTATTCTCACCTTTAACCAAAATTCCACTTCCATTTTTGGCCTCACCATTCTCCTAGCCATCCAAGACCACAATGAAGATTATCTGTGATACTTTCATAAATTTGTTGCCCTAAAATCAGATTCCATGACTATTTTCTTGTGTAATCTTTTCTGTGTTCTTTTCATTGGCCAGATCTTACTTCATCACAGCACAGTGGCAGGGTGGGTCCTGCCTTCTGTTTTTGTTGTTGTTCAATCCATCCATCGTTCTTTCTCAAACGCTATTTTATCTTGTCTCACCTTTCCTCAAAAATCTCGTTTTTCCCCATATCTTGCTGTTTATTGCATGAAGTCTAGACATTTTTCCATGACTTGGTTCTACAGCATGGCCCACGTGACACTCTAGTTTTGTTTTACTTTTCAAATTACACACACACACTGATACATCCATGTCCCTTCGGTGAATCCAGACTGCTGATACATGCCATTAGCTTAGCTATCCTAATACATCCCATTTTGCCTATGATGAGGACTCAGGGAACAGAAATGTGCTTGCTTTGCTGGTACTGCTGATGAGGGCTCAGGGTGATGTGGGAAGAGGCGTTTAGGCTTAAAATCCATTCATTCCTACTAACATTTGTGAAGCATCTTGAGAGAGTGTAAAGGAAAAAAAAATACCATGCCTGCCACAAAACGTTTTCAACCAATAAGGAGATGAAGAGTAGAATTGTCATCATAATATAATATAAAGGAAAGAAAGAGACTCAAATGTGCTTTATTCTTTTATAGCAGATATGAGACCCTGTGAGGGAGGCGTGGGAAACTGTTACCTTCATTTTCCAGATGATTAAACTTGCTTACCTTCCTGAGAGCTTGTTTGTTGTTACAAAGCTAATAATTAGCAGATTAGAGTCCACTAGTTAGTTGGTCTTTTTAATGTGTGGCTCTGACTACAAGCAGGTCCATGGCTCACAAAGTGAAGCAATGAGGCATGCTTGGGAGCGGTGTTCAATGGGCTTGGGAACGTGAGGCTCTCCTGGCAAGTGGCTTTTGACTCAAGAGCTGAAACAGCAAAGAGATTTCAATCAGAAAAGAAAGGAAAGCAGAAAAGGATAGTCTAGTAATAAAGACGCTTTAAGAAACAAAGTTACAAAGCCAAATGCATGAAGCAGACCAAGGGCAAGATTGCTTGCTGAACAAAGACTCCTCCCTCTTCCCTCTGAGAAGCTCAGATAAAGGAGGAGGAGAGGCCTGAGTGTTCCCTTACTGATAAGCACGCTCCACCCAGAGGCCAACAGTACACATTTGGGGACAGAGGGACAGAGTGGAAGAGGTGCCCCTTCTCCAGGGCCACAGGGACTGGAGTGGGGGCAGAAGGGGGGTCATTTTCTGAAAACATCTGGAGCAGAACCAGGGAAGATTCTGGGAGCCAGAGAGAAGCACAGGCAGATGGCAAGTGTCTTGGAAAACCATCCCGTTTTGGAGCCAGACCCTAGTGTGAGGCTTAGGGTGGATATGTGCAAATATACTGTCCCCCAACACACGCTGGAGAGGAGGGGATATAAAGCATCCAGATAGAAGGAAAGGCACGGGAGGTGTTGAGGAAAGATGGGGAAACTTGAACACCCAGGAAAGTGGATCATTTGGGGAATTGCCTTGAGATGAAAATGTGGGGAAGGGTAGGGTCGGAGAGGCTTGACAAATCTGTTTTTAATATAACCTTCCTTTCAGAACCAGCTTCTCTCTCCTCCTCCTTCCTCCACTCACTTCAGGAGGAGGACAGAGTGGGGGAGTGTTGAGGGGACAGAGACAAGCCAGTAGAATGCGTCCTCCCTCGAACCAGGAGGTAAGTAGCCTCTGCCAGGATGTTGGAGTCATCTCTTCTGGCTGTAAAGTTCTACTAATCTTGTGCAATCCTTTTTGCAAATGAATTGCTGTATCATGTACGGGAAAGTCTAAAGAGGGTGGGCTTTTAGGGAGAATAAGCAGAATTACTGCTGTACAAAGGACAATAACAGTAACTTCTTCACCCCGTACCATTCCCTCTCCCATTATCTTGTATCTGTCCATCGCAAAGTTCTTTGTCTTGATTTTTTTCTCTTCGGTTCCCCCACTAGAGTTCTGCAGCAGAGGGACCCCCCCCTGAATGGAGACTGCAGTGGAAAAGAGGCAGACGGGTGCTGACTGCAGTCCTGCTCTGTGGCCTGCTCCTTGGTTCTTCTGTGCTTTGCGTGTACATCTTCCAGAACTGTGGTCCTCGTAAGGAAGATCCTCAAGCAGACCTGACCTAAGCAGCCCTCCCTCATATGCCCTGGTCCAGACCCCTGAGGCTCCAGCCCTACCACTTACCTGCTCCCAGCTTCATGGTCCCTGAGGATCTAGAATACTTTCTCCTTGAATCCCATAGCATGCCATCAGTCAAGGAGTGCTTTTTCTTACCTTTGTCCCTCCTTTGTGCCTCATTCAGAGTCCTTTGCCAGCCCCTGGGGGGAGCCCTTGTTCAGTTTGCTTGTCTTTTCTAACTCCGAGCTTTTGTTTCACAGGTCCTTGTGAAACACCTGTGTGTTTGGAACTCTTGTCTCATTACAAGGCCTCTGGAAACAGAAGTGTGGCCCCCTGCACCGACTTTTTCAGTTTTGTCTGCCAAAAAGCCAATGGGACCAGTAATTATTTTCAGGCTCTTACAGAAGAGAACAAGAGCCAACTGTGGAGACTATTGGGTGAGGACCTAGGTTGGCAGCGTCTCTGAGAAAGTAGACAACTGAATCTCAAGTGACCTTGATAATTCTAAATTCTACACAAGTATAGAAAGCCTCCTTCTTGCTACTGCCTTTTGCTACTACCTGACATTCCTCTTTATTCACATGCTGCTTCCTCTTAGTCTTTTTCTTTTCTTCTACTTCTTTTATTTCTTGTTTCCCTTTCTATTTTCTTTATTGTCCTTATCATCTTTGCATCTGCCCTCCATATCACTGCTCATCTATACTGTTGTCAAGCTGAGCTGTTAAAAACTGAAAGCTCCTCTCATTTATCTCAGTTTGATCCTCTTCTATATTCCAATGAGGAAGTTTTGTGACATCCATATGAAGTTCCCATCTCCTTTTTGCCCTCCTACCAGTATCAACTCATTCAATTTTGTGTTTCCTTTCTAGAGACCCCAGGGTCCTGGAACCTAGGATCTGGGCAGGAGAAAGCCTTTCAGTTCTATAACTCCTGTATGGACACAGATGCCATTGAAGCTTCAGGGGTGGGTCCACTTAAACAAGTTCTTGATGAGGTGAGAAATATTAGGGTGTCAAATTTTCCAACTAAGTAATTCATATCACCAATGCATGCTTAATGGCTACCATGATTTTCTAGGATGTAGGATGCTTTCTTAGGGATTCCAAGTTCTAGGAGGGAGATATAAGTGAAAATACTCTGATGAATTAAGATTTGAGATCAGAGAAGTACAAAAGTACAAGACCAAGAGGCAGCACAGGGCTCAGAAACTAGAAACTAGTGTATGTGAAGAGGGAAAGGTGAACACATTTGGGGCTGGATCTGATGGATCCCTAGGTTCATTTCTGTTTCTCCTCTTCAAAGCTTGGAGGCTGGCATATCTCTGGCAACTGGACTTCCTTGGACTTCAACCAAACTCTGAGGCTTCTGATGAGTCAGTATGGCTACTTCCCATTCTTCAGAGCCTCTCTGCAACCTCATCCGACCCCTCCACACAAACCAATCATCCAGGTGAGGCATAAACTGGATAAACCACAGATGCACCTGAGTTGCTCTAGGCTATCATTGCTTGCAAAAGATATTTAGGGCTGGGAGATTAGACACAGATGCAATGACAAGAATGACCCTATCTTAAAGGAAAATTAGTACTACAAGGATCAGGGCTATTAGGTGGGAAAAGAGGGCCAGCTCTGTAAAGGGTGCAGAAAAAAAAAAAATTCTGCTTTCTTTATTGCAAATCCTGGACCGATTCACTAGTCATCCTGTCTCCAGAATTGCCTTCCTCTTATTTACTGTTCATTTTCCCTAAGACACCTTTCTAAACTTAATCGCTAAAAGCCTGTCATTTAAATATCACTCAGTCATCTAGACATGCCCCCTAATCCTTTACAAAGCATTGCAAGTTTGTAATCTGACCCCTACACTTATCTTTTGTTACATTCTGTCTCCCCCTTAAACTCTTACATTCTGCTGACTCACATGTAATGCCAAAAATTTTCCTCTTCTCCCTGCATATGGTGCTTTCTTGCCTGTAACAACCTTGAAAGACTCCTAGTGTTTCTGGGTGTTAGCTTTGAGAGGCTCTGTCAATAAGCCTTCTTTGACACACTGGTTACAATTTAGGTAAAGTTCCTCTGTCATCCATTTAATGCTCTCAGCACTTAATACTCTCAAAGCCTGTGCCCACCACAGAGTTCTCAGCAACTAGTGGCCACTACTAGTTGTGCTTATAAATAAATAAATAATGAAGCTATCATTGCTGTGATAAGCACTGGAGTGTTCTATATTTGTCTCTGAATTCCATAGCTTCATATAGAGTGATTATTCAAAAAGACATGGCCATCAATATAAGGTTCTAAGATCTGGCTCTAATATGTGCATTCATAAATTTAACTATTATGCTTTGGTGGAATTAACTAAAATCTGAAATGCTGAAGAACAGATTTAGAGAGGACATCAGTGGAGGCTTGGGGCATGGCTAATTATCCTGGTGAAAAGAAAATGAAGCTAAAAGACCCCATAAATGGGTAACAAGAAGCTGGGCACAGTGGCGCAGGCCTGTAATCCCAGCACTCTGAGAAGCTGACACAGGCCTCCAGCTCTTTGTGAGTTCAAGGCCAGCCTGGTCTACAAAGTGAGCACAGGACAACCAAGGCTACACAAAGAAACCTTCTCTCAAATAAAAACAAAAGGGGTGGGAGGAGTTGCACAGGGAGCCAGCCTGATCTACAAAGTGAGTCCAGAACAGCCAAGGCTACACAGAGAAAGAAACCCTGTCTTAAAACAAAACAAAACAAAACAAAACAAAACAAAACAAAACAAAACAAAACAAAGATTTAAGAAAGAAAAAGAAAGAAAGAAAAAACAAAGGAAGGAAGGAAGGAAGGAAGGAAGGAAGGAAGGAAGGAAGGAAGGGAGGGAGGGAGGGAGGAAGGAAGAAAGAAAGAGAAAGGGGGAGGCTACAGGGAAGTTCTGAGCTAAGGAAAGTATTTGGAGTGCTATAGATCCTGCACAGGGTCAGTGTGAGACTGGCCTGGAAGTGCAGTGGGAAGGAAAAGTAGAAATGAAAAGATGAGACTGGGCTTCGGTATTGTTGGCTCAGAAAGTCAGGGAGAACTGTTAACTATTGACACATGAGGCAGGGGGAGAGGTGGAGAGAAGCTTCTGAATCCTCTCAGATATTATCATGACCCTGTAGCACTCAAGTGGAATCAGATTAACATATTTGAACCAACTTAACATATTTGAGTTTGATGGATAATAGCAAAAATGGAAAGTAAGAGTGGAGTGTGAGAACATGGTCAGTTTCAACACTTTTTTGATGGCCCCAGAGACTTTCCAAGGTTTCTGTGGTAGATAATAAAGGAGTTGGAGGAAACATAGAGTCACTTAGTCCACAACATTCTGGCTAGCCTTTTATAGAGTAAACTTAGCCAGAGAGGGTGGACTTCAGAGGAGCCCACGAGGTGCTGAAGCAAGAGGAACAGAAGAGGGATCATGGAGATGGAAGGTAGACCACGATGGGTGAGATCACAAAGGACAAGGTGGAACTACAGGAGAAAGGAACTTATGGAGTCCAGAGATTCCCTCACAAACAGGGTAGAGACCAAGAAGACACCACTGGAAACATGCAGCTAGTCTCTCTCTCTCTCTCTCTCTCTCTCTCTCTCTCTGATGCACACACACACACACACACACTTGTAAAAGTGGGCAGAGATTGTGATTGGAGTTCAGGAGGATAATAAAGAAACTAAGACAATAAGTAAGGATGCCTTTCTGTCTCTCTTAACTTTGGGTATAAAATGCTATTAAGAGGTCATTTGAAAGGTTTCTTTTTTTTTTTTAAAGGTGGAAGAAAAGTATATACGTCAGTGGGATTGGAGTATTGGAGTGGGAGTGGGATATTAAATATGAATGCTTTTTTAAAATATAAATTAATACGAAATGTATGATGAACAAACTATCATTTTCATTTGTTTGTAATTCTGCAAATAGATTTTTTTTCAAAAGTGAGCAAACCTTGCAGCTCTTTTAAAAAATTATGATTTTAAAATGAAATAAAATACACTGTGGAATTTGGTGTTAGGATTTGCATCAAAAGCCTCATCTGCAATAGGCAACTAAGAGTAACTAACTGTGAAACCATGCCACGAGCTCCTGACACTCTAGAACTTATTTTTTAAAAATTCATGATGGATTTTTCTGCATTAATCATGTTTTAAAAGAATGTTTTAAAATGTGCATCTGAGCCAGGCATGGTAGTGCACACCTGTAATTCCAGCACTCAAGCAGGCAGAGGCAGAGGCAGGTGGATCTCTGTGGGTTTAAGGCCAGCCTGGTCTACAAACTGAGTCCAGGACAGCCAAGACTACACAGAGAAACCCTGTCTTGAAAAAAAAAATGCATCTTGCAACTGAGTGTAACTACTTTTTAATTTGTGTACCTGACACGGGTGTCTCACATCCTTGACTACGGATCTACACTGGCCCCAGCAATAGCTTTCTCTAAACAAATCTGTGTGTCCCTCTGTTGCTGACAAGCTTATTTTCATGCATAGACTTTTCCCGGCACCTGTCTTTCTTTGTTCATTCTATCACCGCTCTCATTTCCTTGTTCTCATCTTCCCTTCTTCAATGGTACCTCCCCTACCTACCCATGCCTACCCTCTCCATCCCCTATATGCCCACTTCTCTCCAGTCTCTCTTGTGTCCAGATAGACCAGCCGGAGTTTGACATTCCTCTCCAGCAAGATCAGGAACAGAAGGTCTATGCCGAGGTAAGACACCACCATGCAACACACTCGCCCACCCTACGGGAAAGGCTTCTAGCTTCTGTGACTAAGGTTGCCCTCCTCTAGATCCTGCGGGAATATGTGACTTACCTGGTTCGGCTGGGAAATTTACTGGGGGGCGACCCCCAGAAAGTGCAACAACATGTCTCCTGGTCCGTCTTCTTTGCCTCACGGCTGTCCAGGTTTCTGAGGCCGCTAGAGCGACAGCGGGCACAAGACAAGCTCTTTCATGTGGCCACTATCAATCAACTGCAGGTGCCTGGAACTGAGGGCCTGGGGACTCTGTGCTTGATGGCTTTTCAAAAACTTTCTCCCTTCTGTCTTCTTTCTTCTACTATAATTAATCCCAGCCATCAGGGAGGCAGAGGCAGACAGATCTCTGTGAATTCGAGGCCAGCCTGGTTCAGAACGGCCAACGCTACACAGAGAAACTCTGTCTTGCAAAACCAAAGAAAATTTAAAACCATGTATGTATTTATTTATTCTGTGAGACACTGGGCAGGAACATGCCAACATATGAACATGGAAGCCAGAGACCAGTTTCCGGGAGTTTGGTTCTTGCCTTCTATCATATGGGCTGGGAGACTCAATTCAGGTGGTCAGGCTTGGTGGCAAGTTCCTGTAACCATTGAACCATCTTGTTGGCCCCTCCCTTTCCTTTCAGTTTGTCCTTCACTCTAGTCTTCTCCAGGCCTTCCCCCAGCAGACCCCCTCCTTCCTCATTCCCTTTCTTTACTGTTTCTATTGACATCTTTTCCTCCTCCTCAGTTTTGTGTCCTTTCTCTAAGGAAATGGCCCCAGCCATCGACTGGTTGTCCTGCTTACAAGCAACATTCACACCGATGTCTTTGAGTCCCTCCCAGACCCTTGTGGTCCATGACCTAGACTACTTGAGAAACATGTCACAACTGATAGAAGAAGAGCTACTGACAAGCAGGTTTGCCCAGGTGGAGTTGGACAGATGTTGGGCATGGAAGGAGAGTGAGGTATCGGGGACACCTTGAGTGAGAGGCACCTTCAACATGGGGGGGGGATAAAGAAAGGTTGGGTGGGTGGCACAAAAGGAAACATAAAAACGAAGAATTAACCTGGGCAAGGTGGGGAACACCTCTAATCCCAGATCTCTTTGAGGCAGAGCCAGGTGGATCTCTATGATATGAGTTCGAGGCCAGCTTGGTCTACAAAGCAAGTCCAAGACAGCCAAGGATACACCAAAAACCTTGTCTCAATAAAACCAACCAACCAACCAAACAAACAAACAAACCCTAAGAATTATGTAAGGCTGTGGGGAGCATATGGTATATGAAATGAAGGATATAGGGGCGAGACAAGATGAGGTGTCTGCCAGGAATGTACCATCATCAGCCTGTAAGGAGCTCCTGCACTATAGAAAATGGAGGAAGCCCAACTCTGAAAGGCATGAACCCAAGTCCTTCTTTATAGCACCTGAGGGGCAGTCATAGAAATACTTTAGTGGGGGGAGGGGTGGAAGCACCAATCATGTGGCTTCAGCAGTTTTATATCTGTGCCCTGAAAAACAGAGGCCAGCAGGACCAAGGCAAGCCACAAATGGTTTTGTTGTACTTAGGAACCTACCTTCAAATGAACTGAGGTTTTCTGGTTATGGAAAAAGATGAATCAAGTCTTCTCCGTGTAACTTCACAAGGCAGCCTCTTCACTTCGTTCTTCTGTCACTCCCAAATCCAAACCAAGAAAAACTGTTCTTGATGGTTTTGCATATATGGTAGTTACTCTTGTAAATAAAATGAAGAAAGGGCTGGCTACAAATATAGCAGGGTGGGTTATCGAAGGGATTAATCATTTGGGCATGTTTAGAAGCTTTAGCTTTAGATTGGGAATTTTGTATCCACAGGGACATGATGCAGAGCTACATGATTTTGGGGCTTGTGGATACCCTTTCCCCAGCCCTGGACAGTAAATTCCGGGAGGCTCACAGAAAACTGAGACAGAAACTCCGGAAACTGAAAGAACAACCACCCTTGGTGAGGAGAGAAGGCCATGTTTTTCTATATTGGGGAAAATATTGATGTATTTACAGAGCTAAAAAAAAAAAAAAAAAAAAAAAAGAAAAGAAAAAGAAAAAAAAGGTGTAGGAGGAGAGTTCCTACCCCATGGAAATAGGCAAGATGGGAAGACAGAGTACATCTTTAGAATCAGTATACTACCTGGCCACTTCTGTGGCATTTGGCTGAGCATTAGAGTTTCAACATAAAAGTAAAATTAAGAACCCTTCCTTTACCATTACTATTGAGCAATATGCTTTTTTTCTAAACTGCATGGTTTGAGGACCTGGCCCTAAAACTTCAGCTATACTGTGATAAGAAATATTTGTCAGGCAGCGGCCATGTAGAAGACTTCATGTTTGATGTTTAAATGTGCATTACAGAACTCATCCTCGATCCCATGAAATATTTCTTAGTTACAAAAGGACTACGTTAATCAGATCTTTCGCATGTCTGAGAAGGATGTCTAGGAAATGTGTAGAACCAATTAACCACTCAGATGCATTATTTGAGATACACAGCTCTTCCTTAAAAAAAAAAAAAAAAGAATGTTTCTTGACATTCTATATCAGACCCTTTTAAATCCAAGTGGGGACATCTAGTGCATTGGGCATGTCCTTGCTTCACTGGAGGTCTCCTTTTGTAGTTTTGAGAGAAAATAACCTTTTTTTTCTTGTTAATTTGTGGGTCATTTGTCTACTTTAAAACACTTTTTAAAATATTTTTTCAATTCTGGGGAGATGTCTCAGTGGCTAAAGTGCTTGCTACTCATGGGTGTGAGGATCTGAGTTTGAATGCCCAGTTTGTAGCAAATGGCAGTAGTGTTGTCTATAATCCCAGAGTTTCTGTGGCAAAATGGGATGGAAACAGGAGACCCCTGGACATTCAGGTCCCAGTAGCCTGTGTATACATTGGCATAAAACAAAGAAACCCAGTCTCAAAGTGGAAAGTGTGTTTTAGCAACTGAGGTGGTCTTCTGAACTCTACATGTGCAGCATGGCAGTTAATTTGCTCTCTCTCCTCAAATTTATAAAGGTAAAATGTCCTCATAGAGGTGGAGATGTAGCCATTGATTATTTATGGTTTACAAAAGCCTAGATAATTTATTTTATTGGCTTAATCCTCAAATTTTTATGATACATCATAAATAGCATTATGTTTTTATTTACTTACCTTTTGGTTTTTAGAGACAGAATCTCACTATGTAGCTTTGGTTGTCCTGGAACTCACTATGTAGACCATGTTGGTTTTAAACTTACTGCCTGCTTCTGCCTCCCGGGGGCTGGGATTAAAGGCATGTGCCACTACACCCAGCTCATTTTATTTTAGAGATGGATCAATGAATATATGAGTTTGAAAGAACCTGACTTTAGTAGTAAGTTAAAGCAGGTTACTTCTCTGGATGTCTGGCTTCAAGGTCAGTTGCTTCTTCATCATACCTTAGACCATTCTCCATTAGGATGGTCACTCAGTGTGGGGCAGATTCACAAGAAGCTTCTACACGACCTATCTCTTGATCAGATGAAGCAGAGCATAACCCCAACTGAAAACTTCCTGGCAAAAGCACAACTTCCTGTAAATGAGGTCATGTCTTAGAAGGTATAAATATGCCAACATAGAGACTCATGCTTAAAGAATGTGAAAGGCTTACAAATCCTGTAATCACCATCCTTTTCATTGGGGTATATAACCATGAAATGTGTATCATGCTCTGCTAACAAATTGGTTATGCCCTTGGAGAAGCTGTTCTGCCTTTCTGAACAGTACAAAAAAACGTGACACAGAGCAATAATGCCGACAGCATCTCGTAAGTCTTAGAGTCATTGTCAGGCATCCAGGTGCACCACTCAATAAAGATGATTGTGTTTAGGCTTCCCAGAAATGGCCTGGCATTTTTAGTTCCCATTTCTGAGATTCAGAAACAGGTATAAGAATGACAGCTTCACCAAGATCTCATCGCTCTTAGTGAAGAAACAGGCTGCAAAGTCAATCTGCTTGGCTCATGAACCTATATTTTTAACATACCAGGCTGGATGGAGAAGTATATGGTACAACACCACTGAGTTAGCAAGCTCTTAATGAAGGACAAGACAGTTCAGTGTATTTGGCTTTATGTTCCATACAGTTTATGTTGCTAACACTTGACTGTCCTAATGGCACCAAAGAGAGCTGTGCCCCTAAGAAACACAGTTTAGACAGTAGTGACCCTTGGTGGCTCCTTAAACAGGGTGATCAGAGAGTGTTTGACTATGAGTAGAGACCCTTAGTTGCAGGTAAAACTGAAGCAAGGTTTATAGAAAGAAAGCCATTCCCTGGCCTTATATCATGGGAACATGAGAGATTGGATTTGGGACAATGAAAGCACGATTTCACATTTTCTCTGTGTAATAAGAACTACTTATATGCAGTCCAATATCCCAATTTATTTAGGCAATTTAAAACTCTATTTAAACAAGTAATTTCAATTGCCTTTCCTCTTGAATCCTGCCTGGGTCTTCTGCAATTTTACTCATCATTTCTTAATCCATACTACTACTAATATTTGGTAAAAAAAAAAAAAAAAAAAGTATTAGGTCAGGCTTAGTTTAGGCATAGATTCTTCATCTCTTCGTTTATGTGTTATTTTTGTTGCTTTTCAATTTTTTTTGAGACAGACCCTTACCACATCATGATGGTTTAGAACTTCTAATCCTCCTGCCTCAGCCCTTTGACTGCTAGGATTATGTGTGTGTGCCACCCGTAATGGGTCTGTGATAGTATTTGTTGAGTACCAAGTATAGAAAAAATGCTTCTTTAGGCACTCATTATGTAGGAGTGAGTAAAATAGACAAGTATCCCTGTCTTTGGGTATTTATAGTTCAGTAAAAAAAAAAAAAAAAAAAAAAAAAAGATAATAAACTATGTGTGCTGGGTGGTGTTATGCAGAAAGGCAAAATATCAAATGAAGAAAAGGAATGCAAGAGAAAGAACAGGTATGATTATCAAATGGCAGGTCAGAAAATGTCAAATTAGCTGTGAGTCATTCTTGTGACGTTTAGTTATGGTTCAATCAGACAAGAGTCCACTCATATTGCACCATCATTCCACATCAGTTTCTTTATTTCACTTACAAGGACGTGATTTGAGCTTTTTCCAGATGCTTTCCTGATGTTAAGATAATGCTATCAGAGAGGTAATAGAATTTACAGATAGTGCTAATGGAATGCCAGTGGAATTCAGAATAAACAGAATGCTCTTAAGGAACTATGTCACCTGATCTTCAAATCTGTAAAGTAGGTCGAGCAGACATTGCCCTTGTTTATACAGCTGGTCAACCTAAAGGACATGGGTTTAAGTTAATAGCTCACATTTGTAAATGCTGAATACTGTGCTTATGGGAAGGATTGTGGTGGCCTTTAAGGAAAAATTTAGTTTCCAGACAGGTTTCACTGGTGTTTGGAGTAATTTGCATTGAGAAATTAGGAGGTAGCTTTCTAACAGATTTACATTCTGTGAACATACATGTACATGTGCATTTGTGTAAGAAAGCAGCCCTGGATGAACATTCTTCAATAATGCTGCTCATTTTTGCTTGGTTTATGCTCCAGTTTGTTGCAGTACCTCTGCATCTTGTGCTTCTGATGCGGGACTCTGTGATGTTACTATGGTTTGTAGTGTGCTCTTACCTAGTTTGTAGCTCCTACTCTATATTGTACCCACTTTAATGAGTCCTTTAAATAGATACATTTTTATTATTTTGGCATTTTGGGTCTTCAGAGATCCTATCTTAGTATTTAATAGTTACATATTATTTTCCATGTCTTCATAAACATTCCTTTAATAATTTCATTTCAGAATTTTATCTAGAAGTCCTTACATACTAGGAAGCTTTCTTGATTTCTATCATTTCTTTATATTATTATCATTCATGGATTGTAGGAGATATATTTTATCATTTTCACTGCCCTGAAATGAATCTACTGAGTTTGATTATCTTGCATGTGAAGTGTTTTTTCCATCCTTTATATTTCAGAGATTTCTCCCTCCTGTTTCCACATTCCCTCTTACATGTCCATTGCCTTCCACCTTTCCCTGTCTGCAGAGACAGCTGAGGTTCTAACCTAAGTGATACACTGGCTATTTAATATTCTGCTTTGACCTGTTCTAGCAGCAAACAGTGTATCACCTAAAGCCCACACTTTCTTATCTATAGGATTCTACAGTATGACACACATGTACACATTTTGAGACAGGGTATGGATTATAAAAAGGAAAAGAGTTTCTCCCTTTGGTACACAGGTTAGGAATAGAGGTCTGGAAGGAAGAAGTGTGTGGTGAAACTCCTGGGCCATTTGTGTGGTAGGCTAGGGCTCAGGTGAGTAACTCAGGATTGGATAGTCTTCCTCCCCTTCCCATAAACCTTTTATTCCTCAGAATGACGCCTCCCAAGGTGTAGGCTTTCATACCGATAGCAACAACCATGGGTCCTGATGGAGAAGGGATCCTCTTTCTGCTGAGCAGCAATAGGCAATACGCATTGCCAGAGAAAATGATAAAGAAAAATGTGTGTGTGTTATTGTTGTCTATATGTATATCATATGCATGCATGTGTTGTTCATACACTATAGAGGCCTAAGGCCTAAGGAGCTTTCTTTTGTCTCTCTCCACCTTAATTTTTGAGGCAGTCCTCTCACTAAACCTAAGGTTTTTTTTTTTTTTTTTGGTTGTTGTTTGTTTTTTGTTTTGTTTTTTTTTTATTCAGATAGGAGAAATGGAAGCCAACCAGCTTTAGGAATCTGTTTTTCTCCTCACCGCTCAAAGCATGAGCCTCCAGACCTGACTATTTATGCGGGCTCTGGGGTCCTGAATTCAAGTCCTTGTATTTGTGTGGCAGGCATTTTATCCCTTAGTCATTTTATTTCTCTGGAAAATAAAAATGTAAAAAATACATCAAGGAAAACATCCTTTGAGATGAGGGACTGACATTGAAAACAAAGGTCTAGGCAGGTCTCACTCACTGAAGCATGTTTTTGCAGCCAGCCTACCCGCGATGGATGAAGTGCGTGGAAGAGACAGGAAAGTTCTTTGAGCCCACCCTGGCAGCTTTGTTTGTTCGTGAAGCCTTTGGCCCAAGCATCCAAAGTGCTGTATGTGAGAGCTTTTCCCTGTCTTCAACCCTCTACCCTTCCCACCCAAAACACCTTATTCTGGTTCTGTGAAGTGGGCTCTTCTTTGTGGCATGCAAGGTGGGAATCAGGCAGAAAAAAAAGACAACTAAGAAAGCACCCAGAGGCTTGTTCAGTCCCCTGGTCAAATCTAGTTTATCCATAGGACACAAAGTGTCCACAGCATGAATTAATTTGAACACTTCACTGGACTTTCCTGGTGTTGTGTTTCTTCAACCATAAAAAGAAAAAAAAAAAAATCAAACTCCTTGACCTTTAAGGCTATCTCTGTTTGCTTAAGAGTTTTGAACAACACATGGTATACCATGAGCACAGGGCCGTGTAATTTCACAGAGGGCAAATGAGCAACTTGTGAATGAGTGAGGAGCTTATTTTAATTACAATTGTTTTCCTGATTTAGTAGGACAGAGGACTAAGCCAAGAGTTGCTTAACTTCACAGAGCCACCAAATAGCCATCAGAATTGAACTCAGTCAGTCTGAAGCCAGGGCATTTCTGATATTGTCACCCAATTCCTTCTACTAGGAAAGAATGTACATAAAACAGTGAGCATTTGAGAAATAAAGAGGCATATGGCTCAGGCTGTATGGCTATGGAGACTCCAAGTTTCTGGGAAGTCAAGGAACTTAACAAAGAAAACATGTATTCAATGGAGTGGGTGGGGTAGGGGAGAGATGTGGACACAAAGGCCCTGAAAGCAGAGATGGAAAAAGTAGCTCCCCATGCCCTCTGCTTTCTGAGAGAATTGCCTGATCCCCATAAATCTCAGATATCCCAATGGCAAGGCACAATTATTATAGCCACTGTTTCAGGCAGCTAACTCATTATCATCTCGGTGCTTGGCAGTTCTGCAATAACCCCACAGATCTTTATGACCTGGATATTGAGGTACTCTGGGAGACAGACTCTTCCCTTTTCTCTGACAGCTTCTAGCACCCAGTAGGCTCTTTAGGGCCAAGTTCTCTTTATAGAATGCAGCAAGACCAGAGTTCAGACTGATCCTAATACTGTTTTCCTTTCCCTGCCCTCAACCCACAGGCCATGGAATTATTTGCTGAGATCAAGGATGCTGTCATCAGACGCCTCAAAAAGCTTTCCTGGATAAGTAAGGAGACCCAGAAAGAGGCCTTGAACAGGGTAAGGCCAGGATTATAGGCCAGTTTGGGGCCATTTAAGAGAAAGTTGATCACTGGATCAAAAAATGGGGATGGAGAATGAGAAAGAGGCACAGAACACATGTCTGGGCACAGTGTTAATGGCTCTTGAGGGTTTCTTACAGTTTTTTGTTTTGTTTTGTTTTGTTTTGTTTTGTTTTGTTTTGTTTTGTTTTGTCTTTTTCCAGATCTCCCAACTGCAGGTGGAGATGGGAGCCCCAAAACAGGCCCTGAAGCAAGAGCTGGCCAAACAGGAATATAGTGATGTGGGTTTTTGTCCTTCTTAGTGCCCCTTATTGTCCTTGACTTCTTACTTCCCTGACTCAACTGAGTCTACAAACCAATCCATTTTCTTTGGGCAATTCTAGGCCAACTTCTTCTTTACCCTGGTACTAGATGAGTCTTACAGGCAAAAATACTGGAACTTTCTAGGGCTCTCTTGTGTACATACATATATGTACACCCATGCATTCTATGATGTGTCTATGTTTACTTTCACGATGAAGCATGTGAACTTTGTGCCAACATGAGGTGATATTGCAGGGTTGTTTCTGCTTAAATGTGGTTGCATATACATCAGGGGTTATATGTTTAGCTTTAAATGTGTCCAGCAACATCCAGCTGTATTCATGTCAATGCATCTAAATGACCTGCTGCCTCTTCCTCAGATACAACTTGGTCCCAGTTTCCTTCAGTCTTTCCTGAGCTGCGTACGATCCCTCCAGGGCAGAAAAGTTCGTAGCTTTTTGCAGCCTTTCCCCTACCACAGGTATGAGAACAGACATGTCATCCCAGAGATAGCTTAAGAACAGTGATAACAGACACCAATCCATGATGATGCCTGGGAGAGAAGGCATGTGCCTTGCAAAGACAGTACATGATGGGGCTGTGTTTGTGTGTGCTCTTCACACAGATGGCAGCAGTCTTCCTGGGGGGTCAATGCCTACTATTCAATATCTGACCATGTGGTTGTCTTCCCTGCTGGCCTTCTCCAACCTCCATTCTTCCACCCTGGCTACCCCAGGTATGGACCATTCTCTGAAGGTGAGTCTTTTGGTGGGTGATCTCAAGAGGGATTTAGAGGTGATAAGATAGATGAGACTTCGAGGTGGAAAATTGGAGAAAATATTTTTGAAGGATTCTGTAAGTAAAACAGGACTTTGTCTCTTTAGAGCTGTGAACTTTGGAGCTGCTGGCAGCATCATGGCCCAGAAGTTGTTGCATATCTTCGACCGACTCTGTGAGTAATGAGTCATTGGAAGTCAGGGCCAAAGTGATCACCAGGGAGGAAATCAAAGGATGCCTGGGGAGAAGAGGGAGGTTATTCAAAGGCTCCAGGAGGGACATTCTGAGAAATGCTCCATATTCCTGAGAGCCAGGTCAGCCTGTGACACTCCTCATATTCCACTGACCTTCACAAATTCATTCTCTTGTTCCATTTTTAACAGTACTTCCTGGGGGCTGCCCGGCCTGTGACACTCATGCACTACAGGAAGCACTTCTATGCCTGGAACACCAATATGCTGCCTTCCCCAGCATGTCCTCCTTCAATGGTTCTCACACACCCCTGGCAAATGCTGCAGACATAGGAGGCCTAGCCATTGCATTCCAGGTGTGCCAAGGCCCTGTCCGTCCTCTTTCTTTCTACAATCCCTCATGGGAAACATAGTTGCATAGCTTTCTGCCCTTCACATTCCCATTGAACAGATGGCCACTTGGGACCCTCTTCCCACCCTTGTAGATCACCTCCCCCCTTCTAGGACCTCAGTAGGTCTTCTGCTAAGTACGCCTTCTTCCTGGTTCAGAGCAGTACATCAATGCACACTTTGATAAGAAGGCTTAGGAATTTGCTGGGGCACTATGATATGCAGCTGACATCAGACTTCTAAGTGCCTACAGATTTGAAGCCTAAAAGAAATGTCTATCTCATATCTATAACTAGGCATACAGCAAGAGGATAGTAGAGCACAGTGGGGAGTTGACCCTACCCAACCAGGACCTCAGCCCCTATCAACTCTTCTTCCAAAGCTACGCCCAGGTAAACAGCTACCATTTCTCTTACATTTGCTTCATATCAGTTAAGGACCCTATTATTGATGCTAAATGGACTCTCTGCTACTACACTGCTCCATTCTCACGAGTCCACTATCACAGATCCCACTTTTATCTTTTCCCAGTTGTCCTTTTGGATCCATCCTTTAGATGATTATAGGCTCTTTAACCAAATCCAGCAACTGGCTCCTCACCCTACCCCCAAAATACAACTCTCTACTTCCAAGTACTTCTATAAGATAAGCCTGTTGTTTCTTTACTTGTACTTCAGAAATACAGACTATTTTAAAGAGAGCCAACAACAGGCTAGATAGATGACACACTACTCAGGGACCTCAGTCCCGGGGCTGGTCCCAAATTGGTATCACTTCTTTAAGGACCTTGTGCTCTGTCCGCGGGCATGGTCCAGAATTCTTCAACACACTAATGTCTTCCTTTGCAGAACCCACTACTAAGCATCACCTTGGTCCCTTATAAATGGTAACAATATGCAGCCAAGTTTCTTCCTAAACAGCTAGTGCCAAATTGAACGATTTACACATGACAAATTATATGTGTGGCTCCTGAGCACCCTGCCCCTCCTCCCCTTTGTTCTGCCTAGTGATCTCCTAGTCTTTGTATCCAGCCTGTCCCCATGATCCTATGAGATTTTCTCTACTCATTACTCTTTTGACCATCTTTCTCCTCAGGTGATGTGTAGGGATCTGAGCTCACAAGACCCTCTGGACACTCACAGCCCTCTGAGCCTTCGAGTCCATGGACCCCTCAGCAATACTCCAGACTTTGCCAAACATTTTCGTTGTCCACGTGGTAGCCTTCTGAACCCCTCTTCCCGCTGCAAGCTTTGGTAATTTGACTACCAAAGAGACTGAGATGTAAATGCATGGACTCCTTCTGGGCCCATTCTTGCAGTCAGAACAAATGTCTTTCTTCTTTTTGTTCAAAAATTAAAAGTGTGAATTTAGCTTTTGCTATCTCTCTCTCTTTTTTTTTTTTCCAGCATGTGTGGTGTGTGGTTGGGGTGGTGGTGGTGGTAGTGGGGTGTGTGTGTGTGTGTGTGTGTGTGTGTGTGTGTGTGCATGTGTGTGTGTGCATACATTGTGGACATATGTGTGCTCTAGCTTATGTGTGGAGGCTAGGGGGACATCCTTGGGTGTTAGTCCTTGCCTTCCACCGTGTTTTGAGATAGGCATGTATCCAGGGGTGTACACCAGGATAGCTGCTTCTCTGGCGTCCAGGGCTCCTCTGTTTCCACCTCACATCTGTGTCTGACTCACTACTGCATCTGACTTGTAATGTGCTCCTGATATCCAAACCCAGGTCCTTACACTGCCACAGCAATTATTCAACTCACTGAGCCATCTCCACAGTCCATTTTGTCATTTCTTGATGCCTCTTTCCTGATATGTTTTATTCCTAGAAGTCATGAGGGATAAGAAGGAAACATAGACACTGGGAAAGCAGCAGTGGGTGAGCTGGTGGGTCTGAAGGTCAGTTACTGGGCCAAAGGCCAGGAGATTAAACAGACCAGTGAGCGAACTAAGAGCTTAAGTTGCTGAAAGCCACTCACAACTGTTTTCAAGATTTTATTGCTATTGCTACTTTATTGTCACTGTCTCCTCCCTCTAACCTGCTGTTTCATACAAGGCTTAAGAGAGAAGGGTGTAGGTCTGGTGTCTTTGGCCCTGGGACATGAAATTCTGGGTTGGGGTGGCAATTAAGTGGTAGAAATGGGAGTTGGGGAAGCAATGTTGATACACTCTAAGGCCAGGTGCTTTTTAGAGACAGGGGGTGTGGTGTGCATTTTGAAGTAGCATCTGAGAAAGGAGATCAGTAAGCAAACACAAAGGGGAAGTAGATGTCCAAGTCCTCACGAAGAACCCAGACTACTGCATCCACGTCAAAGTCTCTCATAAAAAAAACATGATGCTGGCCAGATTGAAGCAGAAGGCTAGATCAAAGAGGTGGTCCCGGATAGTTGTTGCCTGGGATATCATGTCTTCTTGCTGGACCATATCTATCACCTGCCACAACTCACCCACTGATGAGGCCACAAAGTGTTCTTCAAACTGCTCTTGGCCCTGGTCTGGAACATGAAAGGGCAGAGATGGACATCTCCAATCTCTGGTCTGTACCAGCATGGGGAGAAGGTGAAGGATGGAGAGACAAATTATGGTCAACTACCAGTCACAATGTTGGCCTTGGCCGGGGAAAGAATGTTTTATCTAGAGGAATTTTAAGATCTCACTTCAACTGTTGCCCCATTTCAAACACAGGTAACATCCACCTCTCATACCAGTTCCCTCCTCCGAAGTGTTGCGCTATTTGGGAAGTGAGCGGCACCTTCAAGCCTGAAGACAAAGGGCCCCTCTCTAAGCAAACACTCTTTATACTTCCTCAGAAGCTTTGGACAATTGCAGATATCCTATACTCTGTCCTGGCTAAAAGTCTTTGTAAAGCCAGACATTTTTACTGAATCCATTATTTCAAACTATGGTGATAGGGAACATGAGCTCTTTCCTGAAACCCAAACTCACCTCAGATTGATCCTAGGCTGGTCAGCTGCTGGAACCTAATTTCAACCCAAGCAAACAGTTCCACCTCCATCCCATCCCACTCCCCACCTACCCCATCTCTCATCCTCATCATCCCTTCTCTCTACCCACCTGCAGAGAACATTTTCTCATCCAGGGTTGTACTGCCCTTCAGAGTCTTCACTGCCTTCACTTGCATCAGCAGCAGCAGCACAGCTGTCAGGAATGTTACCCTGTGGAGCTGGAAGCACAGGGAAGTCATTGGCCTCCTCTCCCATGGTGCCTCTGTCCCCAATCCCCAGGTCCCAGCACCACCTTATCCCTATCTCAGCTCTTACCCCTTGCCAGCATCTTTTTTCTTTTTTCTCTTCCATAGGACCTCTGACAATATGTGCTCTGTGAGGTCACTGCCATGGCTCTGACCTACATTCTAGATCTTTATGCCATTCCATTGACAGACAGAAGACAAATGGCAGAGGCCTCTAAGACAGTTATAAGGAGTCACCTTATAGATTATAGCCTAAAAGGGCTCCAGAATTTGCCAAGTACCATCACATCTACTACACCTTTGGATCTGCATATTTACCTGTAGTCTAAAGCAGCAACATACTCATAGTCACCACTTAGATGAGAAAATAGGTTCACTGGGAAAATGCATCTCCCGTGCAACATCACAGGCATCAGTCAGCATAGCTGTAAAAGTAACTTTTATTCTCCAGATGGAATTGCCTCAGAGGCTTGCTGCCTCCGTCTGCTAGCCTAGGCCTAGTGCTGGAAGCTTTTGCTTCCATACAATCTAATCTAGGCCTAGAATGTTTTCAGCCTCTGAGACTTACTGCTGAATATGATCACCCTTACTAGTTCTTTCTGAATTCTTGCTGTTCTGAACTCAACTATTCTGGCTCAAACTCTTCTCCAAGCTGACTGATTCAATCTGTCTTCTCTCAGTTTCTCACTGAATTGCTCTGCTTGGCCTCTAACTAACTCTAGCCATCTGTTTCTAATCTTTTGGCTCCTCTCTTCAACCTCTCTCTGTGAAACTCTTGTGGTAAAAACTGCCTCTGAATTCCAAGAAAACTGCCATGAACTCAACTCCACTACATTGCTTCTCAATTCACTGACTCAACTGAACTGCCTGAACAGCGCTGACTAGAATTCCGAGATCTGCATGCCTCAGTCACCTGACTACTGGGATTAAAGGCATGTACAACATGTCTGGACCTAAGCTTTTCTTTACCCGAAACTTGCTCTATACTAGTCTGGCCTTGAACTCAGAGATCTACTTGCCTCTGTCTCCTGGAATTAAAGGTGTTTCTATATTCCAGCTAGATCACACAGACCTATAAGTTCTTTGGATGTGATTTTTTTGCCAGAGCAGCCATGTTCTGAATAAAAATTTCTACACATAGGAGTATTCTACATTAGTGCTTTTGAGTCTAAATGTGACATCTGGTTATAATTCCACGTAGCTTTTCTCTATACAGAGTGGTTGGCGCAGATGAGCCCAAGCATTATCTATACACCAGTATATTCAATTCCATACATGTGCCTGGTACTCTGCATGAAATTCAAAGTCTGATGAAAACTTGGAATAAAGGCAGAGGGAAAGGATGAGAAAGTACACATATCGTGCAAGGGAAAGAGACAGAGAGACAGAAACATAGACAGAGAACTTTATGAATGGTGCATAGGATGAATAAACAGAGGCTGAGATCTTGGCTGGTGGTGCAGTCCTTACTTCCAGTTATTCCACAGGGGAAGGAGCAGTGGGAAAATTGAAGTTCAAGGCCTGCTCATGTTCTAGAGTGACTTCAGGCCTTGATAAAAGTATGTTTTTTAAAGGGCTGGAGGCGTAAATCAGTGGCAAAATGCCTGGTAAGAACAAGAGCCTGGGTTCAGCCTCCAGTGCTACAGACAAACCATCAAAGGAACAAACACAAAATAAAAGAAATAGAAGCAAAAGGATAGTTAACTTGCCTCTGAGCAGAGGTTATTCTCTTTTTCTTTTTCCCTTATTTTTCTTCATTCCCAGATGTGGCCCTGTTTTACATCTAGGCTGAAATACCTTCTTTTATTTTGCATCTTTTTTGGACTCTCAGACACAGAGAAGCTGTTTCAAGGGTATCTGACAACTCTTTGCTTGGCAGAGGGGTGAGAATGTGCAGAGAAGACAGTGTGACAAGGAGCCAAAAATTCTAAATAATGAAATGGGAGAGAACCTGCCCCTGTGCTGTTCTCTCCATAGTCAAGCCTATTGGCTACTGACAGAGAGGACAGTAGTTTGAGAAGGTAGGAGGAAGGTCCTCACTGGAAAACCGAAAACAATCATGAGCCCTGAGTAGCCAACTGAGCACAGGGCCAGAAAGGGCTTATCACTCTTTCTCATAATGCACACATTGCCTAGAAAACTGCATGCAGACATGGATGCCAGGGCGTGTACACAAACCTATACTTTTTTGCAAAAAAGAATTGCAGAAATGAGAAGATGATGAGAAATGAAACTCTTCCCCGTGGAAGTAAAAGCCAGTCTATCAGGGGTACTCATATGGATCTTGCCATACTTCAGATCTCACTTCCTGGAGCTCCAAACTAGGTGACAGGAGACTGGGGAATGATATAGAAGGGTGCTTTATAGTGGTGGCATAAAGCTGTAAAAACGCAGTGATCCTGCTTACCCCAACCTTGCACCCATTGACCTGCAGATCCAGAGAATGATGAATGAATGGAAAAACTAAAACCATGACTCTCCTCCTGGCTATTTTGGAGGAGGAGCTTCTTGGCTCTCTGATATGTAGAGAAAGCTCTGTAGACGTGAATGGGGAGGGCAGCAGTGGGAGGGGACAGGCTGGAGTGGAAAGAAACAACTTGGGCTCACTGTCAATGACTTCTACCTCTTTACCAATTCACCTGCCCAACTCCTAGCATCAGATGTAAATCAGGCAGAAACTAGTCACTTCTTAATTTTTATCTTCTTACAAAGTACAAAAACCTATAAAAGTACAAAGAAACAAACCAAACACCCTAAATTCTACCACCTAATGGTAACTGCTATTAACGTGGTATCCAGATGTATTGCTTATTTCCTAGATAGCTGTGAGCAGGTGGGAAACATCTCCTGGACTCAACAATGGGGAGGCATGCCTGCAATTAAGAGGCAGCTGCTCTGTTGGGGGCACTGTTAGCTAGGGGAGCAGCTATCTGGAAGAGAGGCTGCAGTGGTGCTTGATTCCAAAAGCTGTAGGAGCACTGAAAAGAAAGAGAAGACAAGAAAGGGCAACACAGTGGTATCATGACAATATTGGCTATTATCAGAAGGAAGGAATGGTAGAAAGAAATTCCAGAGGAGGAAAGATTCAAAACTCTGTTTCACAACTGAGATGGGTGGAGATTGGACAGGAAACAATTTGGTACCCATCCTTCCATTGAAGAACCTAGTGCAAGCACAGGAGCAAGAAAAAAAAAAAATTGAAGACCTATGAGTGGTTGCTCCCCTTCTTCCCTTAGGACATGCGGCCCATGTCCTTGGTGACTGCACCTGCTCTGTGTGGTCCTGACTAAGCCAGACTCCTCCACCATAACCACTCTCCACCCCCACCCCCTCAAGGATTAGCTTTATGGGCTTAGTGTTTTCTTGGCAAGTGCACTGCTCATGACCTGCTCCCCCTCCACTTATCAGCGCATCTATAACCTGAATCTCAATCTTATCACTCCCTCCATCTCCTTAGACTGGAAATCCACAGGTTTCAGAGACCATTAGCACCCACGCTGCCCCAACCCCCAGTGAGGCATAAAAATGCCCCACAAGGTGACCCTCCCACTCTCTGGGTAAGAACACGGTTTCTCCTTGTCTCAGGCACCTCCTCTTCCTTTCTATATTTCCTTTCCTTTCAATCCTTGCCCTGCTCTCTAGGTTATTTTGTTCCCTGAATCAGAACTCTATTGCTTATGTCAAAAGAAAACGGCAGTCCCCAAATCCCAAAGCTCTCCAAGGGAGGGTCTCAAGTATATCCCATTCAAGTATCTCATTATTTGTATGGCCCAAAGTTTTCCAAGAAGTAGAAAGGCCTGGAGAACTGTGGATTGGGAACTAAGATCACAACTTGAAAGCCCATTTCAGTGTTGTCTCCAGCTCTGGGGTTGAGAAATCACACTCCTTCTCAGTATGCTATCTTCTCACTTAAAACCACTCTTGCCTTATTTCCACTGACCTCAGGGATCCATTGAAGTAGTACATTCAATAACACTAGAATGTCTTATTGAAATGTGTAAAGACAGTATAAAAAACTGTTTGATAAAGTACCCGTGCCTTATCGTAATCCGTTCCTTCTGCTATCTCACTCCTAGAGAATGTCTCATGATTTCTCTACCTTCTAATCATTCTCAGTTCTCTTGGTCCAACATCAGGAGTCACACAGAACCTCCTAAGAGTCTTCTAGGATATACATCCCAGGGTACCTGTTTCACCTTCAAGATTATCTAGCCTTGCTCCCTCTCTGAATTCCTTGGCCCCACCCCTCAAACACTCCCAGTGTCAGCTGCCCAGCCCACTGCCAAGAACCAAAAAGGCTCCTCCTTTTTTCCCTCCTCACTCCAGGCAGCTTTGTGCCCCCAGGCTTACCTCTGGGAAGGCCTCCTCCTCTTCCCCCAGCAATTTCTTCACTGCACATGCACACATTCACACCACCGCACCACCCACCACAGGCACAAGTCACTCGAAGATATATTCACCTGGGTCTTCATGCCCAGCAGACTGAGACTCCTCAGCTGCTGTCCTCTTAGACTGTCTCTTTTCATCATATTTGAACAAGTTCCAAGTCTTTGCAAGAAAACATGGGGGTCAAAACGCCTTGGATTAAACTCCAGAAACTATTCAACTGGTGGGTCGGAGAACAAGACTGGGACCAGCGCTTGGATCAGCTTCACATGCTACAGCAGAAGAGGTAGGCTCTTCAGGGTATCAACAGCACCTCACAGATTCTTTTAAGTCCTTTGGTACATAGCCTGTTCCCTTGAGAAAGCACTCAGACTCAGTGCCAGGCTCTTGTCTGTATTCACCTTTTTCAGCCTTTGCAGGTGGCAAACTACTTGAATATGGATGTAAAAATGAGGGCAGAATGACACATGAGGGTTAAACTTGTCCTCCTGCCTCAAGGAAGGAAGCAGTAAAGGGACCCAAAGAGACAGAGGAAGTTAGGTGGGTTGGTGGGGAGGCCAAGCAAGCAAAGATTGCTGGGAAGTAGGTTTTGTGGGGAAGGGACCAATGCATACAGGTTTTGAAGTAGCCTTTGTTTAGAGGACTTGATGAAAGAATGATTAAGGAGTTGTCATCCGGAAGAATGAAATTTGGTTACCTGAGAAAGAAAGGGGGGAGGGG